GACGACGTGAGCATTATTCTCTGTGCAAATATTCTCCATGAACGGGAAAATGTATCAAAACGTAAAGATTCATTAGATATTTTTCGATAGTATTCACTTAACTGTCGCTACAAATTCTTAGAATTGGAACTCTTTTTGAGATATATATCATCCACAAGATGTTTTTCTCTTTTTCGAATTTCGAATCAGTGAAACAAACGAACGATGAAATTTTTGGATATAATTTTTGGAAATTATGTATTCTTTTAAATGACACACGTTTTGATCCCGCGACAGTTAATTGGATAAATATTTTTTTATATTCATAATTATTAAATAGAAATTCGTTCGAGAAGAAAATTTTTCAAGATTTAAGTTTCTCTCGAAAGTTTTTCGCTAATAGACACGTATCGAAAGTGAAAGTTATTTCAGAACAATTACTCTTAATATTTAATTATTTACTTACGAGAAATACTGTCACGAGAGTTTCATTCTCAAATAAATTCAAAAAGAAATCTAGAAATTTGCTTCAATTTATTATTGAGGCTTACAAATAATATCTCCATTGAAACTCAAAAATTTCGTATTTAGAATTCATTCTAATCAAAGATTGAAAGATAATTAAAAAAAAAAAACTGATAATATATTGTGATACCTTCGAATATACTATTTCTACAACAAAATATCCATAAATTAATAAAAAAAAATGCAATATTAGGTAAATTGAAATCGACAATATGATAATACACATTCGATAGCCTCAATAATAATTCCATAAGCAAAAAACGTTTATAGCGTTAATAACAAAAAATAAATAAAAATCCTTATTCGATGAAAGTTGGGTAATGCTCGAGGAACAGTTTTTTTATCCACCTCTGATTGCACAATCTGGATCAGGGAATTTCGCAAAGGGAGAGAACCGGTCCGACCACGAGGGACGTCAACGGTGTTGGAAAATTCGAATGATAATTTCGCTCGTTCGACGATTTCACCTCGTGATGTCGACCTTTTATTCCAGGACAGGAGAGACTCGATTAAACGATCGCGAGAACAAGGAACGCTTAATGAGTTTACAGGGAGAGGCTGTGTCTCGAGAAGGGGGACGGAGGAAGGGAGGGGCTGGTTGATTTTGAAAGAAAAATAATTTTCTAAGGGCCAGGAGCTGACGTTCTCAATCGACGAATTATCCGAGTCGATGGTATTTTCTTTTCTGTACACGTGATTTTAGATCTCGATTCCTGCGTTAGATCCTGGCCCTCTTTGAAAATTCTATTTAAAGGAATACGAAAAAAAAAAAAAAAAAAAAAAAA